TGAGCCACCCGAGATAGTGATGACTTGTCCTGTGGGGGAGATTAGTCTCATAGAGTCCAACGCACGGATTCGAGGAATGCTTACCATTAACCCAGCCGCCGTCATCACTAGCAAGGAAGGCAACAACGCGGGCGACATCCTCGGGGACGGCGCAGCGGCCGAGCGGGCAGTGCTCGGCCATCAAAGTCTCGATCTTCTCGGCGGGCCAGTCGGGTGTGCCGCCGGGAATGTAGTGCCAGGCGTTTTGCGTGAACATGTCGCTCTTGATGCCGCCGGGAGCCACGCCGTTGACGGTGATACCCCTGACACCGAAGTCAGTAGCGAAGGCCTTGATCATGCCGATGACGGCCATCTTGCTGGCATTGTACAAGGCGTGGTTCTTGACGCCCATAAGGCCGGCAGCGATGCTGCTCATAAGGATGAGACGGCCGTTCTGCTCCAGGTACTTGAAGGCGGCCTGGCCGACGAAGAACTGGGCGCGGGCGTTGAGGTTGAAGACGTGGTCGAACTTCTCCTCGGTCACCTCCTCGGTCTTGTCCCAGGACTCAGTGCCCGAGTTGGACATGACAATGTCGAGCTTGCCGAACGCCTTCTTGGCCTCCTCAAAGAGGCGGGTGATCTCGGACACCTTGGACACGTCGGCCTGGATGGCCACGGCCTTGGCGCCGTTGCCGTACGACTCGATCTCCTTAACCACCTCAAGGGCGGGGCCCTCGGACGAGACGTAGTTAACCACGACCGAGGCGCCGCGCTTGCCGAGCTCGAGGGCGACACCCTTGCCAATACCACGGCCGGCGCCGGTGATGAGGGCAACCTTGCCTTCCAAGCTGGCGGTGGGCACTGCGAGAACCATGGCTGCGGCTTGTGGGGGTGTGAAGCTAGTTGGGACGGAGAGAGAAGTGGGTCCTGAATAAGGGGAGCCGAAGGTAAACAATCAAAGGCGGACTAGAGCGCACGGAGGCCGACGGAACAGGCAACGAAATGGGTATCAAACAGAGGCACGATGGAATTGGGAAATAACACGAGCAAGACCACATGTCCTGGCAGTCGATGCTATTTAACAAGAGAAGTCGCAATATACTTACGGAGTGCGTTGACGGTACTCCGGCTCTTCGGAGTGGGGCGGGGGAGGGCCGGCGCGGGGATCTCCGGGCGCATTGCACGGGCGAACCTGCGCCCACGTCCCTCGTCCCCAATCCAGCCCGCGGCCGCAAAGGCCAACGTGTTTGTCCCATGTGCCCTTTTGGGTACGAGAGCGCCTCCGCATTGGGTCTGTGTTGTCGATGCCGCGTCGCTTGATGCGTCCCAAAAGGCGAAGGTACGGACGGCACCGCGCAGAGCGACGGTCCCAGTCCGCCCGGCCGGGACCAGGCGTCTACTACTCCCTAGGATCACCGACTGCAAGGGGCCGTCCGCACACCCGCCCTAGCGAACCCACGTGCATTCGTCGCCCTCTGTGCATCACTGCGCACTCGGTCCGTGGTCCAGGGAGTAAGTACCCCTTCGGGCTCCTGAGCTGGCGCCAGGAGTCGCTTCGGACATGGACAACGGGACAGAGCACGCCGTCTGGTGATCGGCTGCCAGATTTCTTAGAGCTTGTCGCTATTTTCCTACATCAGCCGGGGGCTTCGTCGCACGTTTGGATCGGCAAGCGCCGGTGCCTTTTGCGAACGTGAAACTTGCACCTGCACCTTGATGGGACGAGCGCGCCACTGAGACGGCGATTCACAGTAAAGCGGCTGTGAATCCCGTTTTAGACGCTACAAACCTGCAGCTCTTGCACCGAACTACAGCTGGTTTGTCGGCTAATCTAGTCAATTGTGCAATTTTCACTGTGCTTGAGGAGAGGCACGGACCTGCCCAGGGCTTCCGTACCTGCGTCGCCCAATTCTCCATTGAGCAATGCGGCTCGAATGCTGTGCCACCAGCTTTTCCAAGACGAACAACACGCCATCAAAGGGCGGTTGGATCGTAAGCGCCTCTAGCGTTGCTCTTAACTCCCAGCGGGTTTGATGGCTACGTGGACATGTATCGATGGAGTGGTCGCCAAGTATGCGTTGGCTAACATCGACGTCGAGCTCGGCACTTGCTCGAGGCAGGTGCACAAAGTACAAAGTGCTCCTTGCCTATCCGCGACCTCGAAGTTGGAAGGGTCCGATCCGGAGTGGATCGGCACTACTATCGGACATGGGCGGGCATTTGCAGATAGAGGTCGATCATATTAGCGCGCATACCGCTGTGTTGTGCTTGAGCACAGCTGGTCGCTCCAAGGACGCACTGTGCAAGTGACCCGGTTCACAAAGCATTTCGTCATAACTCATACACTATCATGTGCCCCAGTTCTTCACTGATGCCCTGGGTCTGGCCCTGCTACTGCTTCAACGCAGCCTCCCTCGATCTGGCCATATAACCTACAGGTCACTGCAAAGTCTCGCCAGGACTGCGCGACTTCTCTAGTCTTAGTGCTTCACCCCATTTAACGCGGCTGTCATCGGACAGCCAGAGGCCTTCCTCAGCTCCACCAACCTTTCCTTATCCTTGGCCATCTCCTCCGCGCCCTTCCCTTTGTGGTAATCCGGGCCGACATCGCGGATATGGTAGCCGTCCGGGAAGTACTTGGCCCCATCGTCGCCGGGAATATACCCGCCCAGGAGCCTCTTGAACCACGCATCGGGTCCCCAGCGAGCGGCGAATGTCGGCTTGACGTACCACGGATGGCCCACGTACTGCTCCAGGTAGATCTTGCCCGTCTTGGGGTCCACCTCGCTGACCGTCTTCCGTCGCAACGCATACGGCCTTGGCAGGCAAAGGTAAAGCAAGACATATTTTCTAATGTTGTTGTAGCCGTTCATATACACTCTGTTGATGAGAGTGGGTTCTGGTATCCTGCTGCACGTTAGCCATCTGTTGGGCCGGGGGCGAAGGAGAGGGGGGCTGGGGCTGGCGTACATCACGGCCTTGCGTAGTCGCGGCTCGAGAACGACGCTAGTGAGCCGAATGAACAGAGGCTTCAACGGCTTTGGAATGTTGTAGAAGCCAAGGTAGAGCGTCGAGTTGGCGACTTGCTCATTGGACGGAGCTGGAACCATGTACTTCTCCTCATACTCGATGCTCCATTGGTCGAGCGCATTAAGCCAGGTCAAGCCGTCGTCATAGGCGTCCTTGATATGTGGCTTGAGAGCGTCGTAGGGTATCTCCATCGACGTGCCGACGTCTCGCCAGAAGACGCCCAGCGCGCACTTCTCGGTCTCATTCAGGGTGCGCCACTCCAGCTTCGCAGTCCACCGCACCGGCTCCAGCGCGAACAGGCTCAGCGTGTAGAGCATGTCACCGTCGGTGATCTTGCCCGCCTGGCGATACCGCGAGTGCAAGTAGTTCACCCGCGCGAGGCCGTCGAGGTGGCGCTCCGACGCCGGCTCGCCACTCATGATCTCGGCCATGATGGCCGTCGTGTCGGCGGCCCGCTTCGAGACCGTCTTCTCGCTGCCGAGCTGGTTCGTGGCCAGTAGGAGCCGCGAGATTGAGGGGATGCCGTACGTCTTGAAGAGGGCGAAGAACAGCGATGTGGCGAAGGTGAGGGGGAACTCCTGCGACGCCAGCTCCTGGTTGATCTTGTGCGCCTGCTCAATGGTCATCTGGGACAGCGACGACCGCGTGGTGAAGCCATACTTCTTCTTCCAGCTATTCGCGCGGCGGAACCGAAGGGCCCGGACGAGGATCAAGTACAAGAGCAACCCGGACGCGACTCCGGCATATGGCCGCTTGCTGGCGCTGGCGTACGCCTGGGCGACCGAGGAGACGAGAGACGACATTGCGTAGTCGATCGCGATCCGTATGGGATCAGGAGCAGAGCAGGGGGTTTGCAATCGCCACGTGCTTAGGGCGTAATGTATTTATTTGGCCAGGACAGGAGGTCTAGTGGCAAGCTGGGCTCGCTATAGCTAAAGTACTTGGAGGCCAGTGGGGAGCAGATAATAGCTCCAGCGCCGGCAGATATATGCCTGGGGAACTCCACACCACCTATGCCCGTGGATGGCAGGGATAAGCTGCTCGAATAGCACTCGGGGCGTATGAGAGCGACACGATAGGATAGGATGGGCTTTTTGGTGCTATGTTTCATGTGGGGGACCCGTAGTAGAGAGACAGTCCCCAATCCTCGGACCTCGGCGGATGGGTCCTTGGCCAGGTTCCCCGCCTGGGGGCAACAAGGGAGCGCCCCGGCGCATCAGACATAAGGTCATGTATAGTACGACACGGCCCCCGCGCGCCGCGAGAGGTATCTCGTATCTCGCTGTAGGTAGATGTGATAACGGCCCTAGGCCCGAAGAAGCCGCGGACCCGTCCTCTGCGCATGCGAACAGCATTGCGCGTTGGTCCGAGAGACAGCATGGCCGGGGGGCCTACAGGGCGGGTGAGCCAGATCGATCTCAGTCTGTTGGTCTGCGCCACCGAATGGGACGCGGGGAAGGCCCACGGTACCGGGTCCTTCTTAGACTCCGAAATGTGAGCCGCCAAGGCCGCATCTGGGGTGCCGAGGGCCAGCGCGGCACGATGAACCTCAAGCCGCTAGGCGTCACTCGTACATCTGGGCCAGTACTGTAGCAAGCGGGAATAACTCGTGCAGCCCCCCCTGTACGCACCAGTAAGGATGGCTGTCTTTGCGTGGTTTGTCGGAAGCCGTCGCTGCGTTTGCTACGTAATAACTTGTAACATGTTGTTTTATCCCATCTAAACCCTATGCCACTTTCAGCAGTAGTAAGTACGTGAGTCTCGACGGGATAGCGCAAACTATCGCAGTGGTAAGCTCAACTGGTTGTACAACTTCGAGGCTAGCCAAAGCGGAGGCGGCCTAGATAAAGTGCTTACCCCAAGCCATGTACCGAGGCCCTTTCTGCGGAGAAAACAAGCTTGCCCTAATTCAGCATAATTCCCATCTCCAAGCTTTCGCATTCGTCGGTACAGGCTGCATAGTCAATTTTATCGACCCGCTCAATCACCAAGGTCGGATGGCGTAGTTGGTTATCGCATCTGTCTAACACACAGAAGGTCCCCAGTTCGAGCCTGGGTTCGATCATTTTTTGCCAAAGTCAAGACCTCCGCCATTCGTTTGGGCTGAAGTACTCCGGATGTTTCCCTTTTTTGACGGCCGGTTGGCAGCCCTTATATTTACGTTCGCCCAGTGTCTTGCTAGGCTGGTAACAATACTAAAGGCCTGACAGGCGGACGAAACAAAAGACAGCATCCGGTGGAGGTCGTGTCATTTGTTGCCACAAACGTAGCAGGCTAGGAGGCAAGTTTGAGTCCCTTGCGTTCCATTGCTTTGACTATTTGCTTCAGAGTGATTTCCATTGCTACGAACATCCGTGGTTTCGTTCACGGTAATGCGTGGTCCTTCCACACTTAAGCTCAGTCACGCCTTATGAGGCCGAATTTTCTAACCCGCGTCTTTCACTGCAATATTCAGCACCTCCCAGCCAACCCTGTGCAGTTTTCTTGTCGCAGACGCAGTAGGGGGCGGGCAGGGGCAATGAAGTTTTGAGAAAGCTATAACCCCCCCC